ACAATCAAAGCATATTCTTTCACATCCTTGTCTTTATCTACTTAGTAATAAACTCCTTTTGATCTAATAACCATTATGTAAAATCAAAACAACATCATAAAAATATGTGGGTGGCACCACTTCATCATTTCCCAGCTCAGGGAAAACAGTAATTTGATTGGTGAACTGCTCCTTAAAGCATTACATGTTTTGTAAGTGGCTGCAAATCAAAATATTAACAAAAAGAAAGATTTTGCAAACAAGGCACATATAGAAGCAATGTACATGCACACATGGAATAACACACACTATACTAACACAAACACTCAGATGTTATTTAATAGTCTTAATGATCACAAAGAATAATTTTGAAGCATGCATTTTCTCAAATCAGTGTGGTTCTCACCTCCATGTCCTCACGGTGTGAGCGATCTCTGTCCTCAAATTCTCGGGTTCTTCTACGGGCTTCTTCAAAAGCGGCCTGTGCTAGAGCATCCTCATGCTGTGTAAACACAGAGCAGCGGTCAGTCTCCTCTGATGAAAACCGAATGTGAAAGGTAGTTGCTGGATGCTTTATACCTGTGCTCTCTCATCATCATATTCCAGACAACCCATGCCATCCAGACGATGAAGATCAAGCCAGCCTCTCCAGATCACACACACACCATTTAAAATCATTGGGGCTTTCAGATAAACCTGCACACACCAACACAGAGGCATGTTTAAAATTATGGTCAAGGTAGTGAACATATTATTCAATAATAACATTGAATGTGTATAAAAAGATTAGTACGATTCAAAAACCTTTTATGTGGATGCACAGTTTTTTGATTCTCGAGGACATTGCAGTGAAAAATAGTCAAGGGCACAGCACAAAGTAATGTAATGTTTAAAACAGCTAGTGGTGGGTTACAGATTGTGAGTAAGATGTGAGAAGGTAACAACCATTCCTAAAAATACAACCTCTATTAGAAAAGCTTGTCCGAAAATGAGTCTTGACATCAACTTTGAAGCTTGTTAGTAAGATTCATTACATCATTACATACTCAGGTAATCCAGAGGAGTATTCCTTTTTTCATGCGATTTTATTATTTTAAAAAATATATTTATGTTACTTTAATTTGTTCAACTAAGTAAATATTTCGGCCGAAGTGACCTCTCATGTGACCTCATTCACTCAACATTCATTGTATGGCTGCTACTAACAATCTTTTTTTTTTTAGAATAAACAATAGTTAACTATAAATAACTCTATAATAAAGCCCGGGCTGTTTTTTTAACTACTTACATTCTACAGTAGTAATTTACATTTAAATTTACCTTTATGAAGAGATTTTTGTGGCAAAGCTTTATATAATTTATAGTACAATCTCAGCTTCTTTTTTAACAAATATTTTTTTCATTACATTACACAATTATTCCACACAAAACTGAAATTGTATAAAAAAATATAAGTATAAGTATAATATTTAGTCTAAATTTAAATTCAGTTTTTAAGTGTTGAGACAAAATAAAAATTAATAAATCCTCCCAAAAAAGCAAATACAATATAAAAACAAGTGAAATTGTATAAAAAAAACGCAAACCTAAACCTTATACACGGTCCCAAGAACTTTTGTGCCATTGTTCTTTTTTTTGTGAGAAAAACACAAGCCATTTTACAGATATTGTACACCAAAAGGTTCATTATTTTATGCTTGTACAATAAATCCCCTAATTATACAAAATCAGTGCAAAATCCTCCATTTCTAAGTAATTTGTTTTTACCGTTTTGGTGTAAAATACTATATAGTAGACAGTAGACTCAATCCGGGTCACATTAAAACTCTCTGAGAGGGCGAGTATGTTTTTATATGAGCTACAGAAAGATGCATTTTACAGAGAGTGAAAATGTTCTAATGTAACAACAGCTGCACCACAGAGTGTCTGCAAACAGAAGTTCCTGCAGCATCAAAACTGCACATACACTCAAGTTAATCCAATGCATTTAGCCTCTTCCTGTCCTACCTCAATCTCAGCCCCTCTAAAGACTTCCATGCAGCTTCCAATGTTTGCTTCCCATGATGAGAGTGTTTATTTATAGAGACCGGCGTAGTAGCGAGTAAGAGAACACCGATGAAGAGACAAGCAAAGCCTGTCTGAATTTATTTATACAGTGCATGGTCTGCGAGCGCAGCACATGATTGCATCCGTGTGTGAGACTCAGATGATGGTGACTATGTTTGAGACAAGGTTGACAAAGAGTGAGTTAGATGTTGAGAATGCAGAGACAGGGCTGTATGACTGTCTGTCTGGGTTGGAGCCAAAGAAATATCACATCTCTGCCACTGAGGAATCCAGCCTGAGACAAAAGCGTGTAGTCTGTCCGTCTGTGGCGGCTGTTTATTTCTGTAACTGCTGCAAAAGAGGCCAGCTATAAATTCACATATGCACAGCTCATCACTGTTACCCTTCGAAAACAAGTAATGAGAGTGAACCTGCGGCATGCTGAGACACACAGCGACATGGCCGTGTGTTGTTAGATACGCCGATGACTGCTAAAGGGACCGACCAGACAAACACACTAACAACATCAGCTTTGTCCGACTTTACTACCTTCATTTGAGTGTCTGTGTGTGTCTCTGAGTAGGAGTTGCTTTTGGAGTTAGTTCAGAGGCTACTACTCTGGTTTCATTTGCACTAAATTCACCACAGCGATGCGAACGCAGTCCACTGTAAATAATAAAAAAAAAAAATAGCAGACTGAATCATTTCAAAAACAATAACTTAGGATAAGGAAAAATAAGGAAAAGTTAAGAGTTATAGTTAGTCAGAGAAGATTAATGGAATTAATGTCAGGCACACAATAATCTCACATATATCAGGATTTTCTGATCATATTTATGATTATACAGGAGACCACTTGGCCAATTAAAAAAAAAAAGTCGATGTTTTGCATAGTGTTCCCCACAACCAAGTTATCTTTGAGTGTACAAGAGACAGACATTTGCAGAGAAGAGACCTTTTGTCACCCCCCTGCAAAAATTGTAAAAAAAAGTTTAATAATGCTTTTTTATTTGTGCAGTTTATGCTGATGTTGTTTTATGTTACCGCTTTGGTGAACACTTTTTATATTTAACATGAGATACAATTAACAACAAACCTTTTTCTTGTTGAATGTCAAGAATGTCGTGCTTTATGTGCTGAGATTCACAAAAATTAAAATTTATACTTTGAGACAGATTCATTTAATCTTAAGTCTAGGATTCAATGTTTTTACATTTTTTTTATTCAATTCCACTGCAAAATAATTCTTGACCATTCGCTCATGTTTAATATGCTCACTTTCTCAAATTATGTGCAAGTAACTAATAAAGAGAATGCTACTTAAGTCATGTTAAAAAGTATTAAATAGTTATATATAAATAAAATGTATAATGCATAAATTGATCAACCTGAAAAAAAACATTACAAATGAAATTTTTGCACGGATAGCAAGACAAAATTTTCATAGAAATTTAAAAGCTTTTGCACCTCAGTCACTTTCGCCATTTTTTGAACCATGCAATAAGATCAGTATTTTTTTGGTGATCTATTCAAACAAGATATATTCAAATTTCAGGTAAAAAAATGGGCAAATTTAATGTAAATGACTAAAGAAAGTCTTAGAGTGTAGACAGGAAATTTACTTCCGACGTAAATGGAAATTTACTTAACTGGAAAGCATTTCCTGTGGACACCTGGTGGCGATATACTAATACTGTAGGATGCTATATCAATGTATCCAGACATTGTTTCTTAACACACGTGCCAAGTTTGATCCCAATTGGACATTCTACTGCTGAGTACTGCTAATGCGCACATTGTTTACAGACGTACATTTTCACCAGTTCTAATAGGTGTACAAAATTTGGTGACTTTTCCAGTACATTTAGACCGTCAAAAATGTTCAGAAAGCTGCTTTGAACATTTACAATTGGGTTCTATGCACCTTCGATGTTCAAGCCCTAAAGATGTAAATAAAACATTAAGTTATTTTCAAAATCATTTGGTCAACTATAGTTTTTCAATGGTTACATTTGTAACTTAAAAAGAAACAATCATATTAAATCATAAATAATTTATTGGTATTTATTCTGTTCATAATTATTTCATTCACTATATTTACTAACCCGTGAATTCTTGAGTAAGGATGATGTCTGACTTATTATTAAGAGCATTCTGACCATGTTGAGTTTAAACGGATGTCTGTTAGTGACGAGAAGATTTCTAACTTTCGTTTATGGTTGAAAACAAATACTGTTCTGGTCAATTATCTAAGTGGAGTCACCACAGACATATGAATACCACTGTACCTCTTGCCTCAAGATGTTTGCTGTGATACAACCACTAAATGACCTCATGAACGACACTGATGAAATGTTAACCAAAATCAAAAGCTAAACCATAAGCACTCTGCAGCTCTAAACAACAAAGACACATGGCAACATGGTTCAATAAACCACTACTGTTGGAACCATAGTGGCTTAATACTTTAGCTTTCGCACCTTTGCTGTAATGCGGCTGTAGCTTTTTAATATCAGCTCAGCTCATAAAAAATCACTGATCATCGATTTACCCCAAAATGAAGAAATAGACAAGCAATAATTCATGTTAAGAAAATAAACATTTAAGAGCACGGCTACAGAATGGGAGACTCCTGTAATTCCATGTGTGCTTATCCACCATTAGCCATCTGCAAAGATGGTTTACCTTCCAGAAAATTGAAAATGGCCAAAAACACTGGAAAAGGTCAACTGGCTGTGCCATTAATGTACCATTTTGAAACATAATAATGTGTAAGAGAAAGAGAAAAATCACAACCACAACATTTGCCAGTGCAAATAAGGTCAAAGTTATCTAGTTAACAAAATTGTAAGAAAAAAACTGCATAATATTGTTGCTGCCAGTTAAATTAGTCACCCTAAATTCAGTGGCTACTTTTACATATGTTATGCATGTACCTTTTATCCAAAGTGACTTACATTTCGAGACATTTTGGGTTTCCCTGGGGTTTGAACCCATGACCTTTGCATTGTGTGCACAATGTTCTTACTGACTGAGCCACAAGAAAGCTCCTAAGAAAAGTGCCATGCTTTTTACTCAACGTAAGCCGAATATAGCACCAGTTGACCCCCAAACCTAATAAGTAAGAAAACAAGTAACCAAGATGTAAAGATAATAAAAGGATGAGAAATAAAACCACATTCTTCAATATTTTCACAAGTATCTGCCATACAGACAAATAAACATAGAATTATGCTATAAAAATCTAAATAAAAAGGGATGCAGCAGTGATATGGAGCCTTCTCTACACATGATGAACCTGCAGTAAGGAGTTAGTATCATTTAGTTTGCATCACTTCATCTGCATTTTCCTCCTGAAACTCCTGTCCAGTGTTTCCTTTCAGGATGTGCAATAGCCTGTGATCTGTGTCCCCTCAGCAGTAAAACATAGGTAGGAAAAATAAAGCTGGGCTCAGCTCTGCAGCACTTTAACTAAATATCAGCAGAAGCCACGAGCCAAAGGTCTGACTGAAATCAAATCCCCAACAACACTGGGATTTTACTGCTACATTTTCAGGGAAGCTAATTACAGAGCAAATGTTTAACAATATAAAAGAAATCATTATCGTGAAGACATTGTACGAGTTCAACAGCTAAAGGAAGGATGAAAAATCTTAAGAATCCCATACAATGAGCCATACATCGGAAATTCTTAACCTTCATGTACGCACATTATTTTCTTTTCCGCTACCATTTGTCCAACTCAAACAGTTTCTTCTCCCAATAAATACAGGCTGTGTAGCCATTAATAATATATTTTAAAAGCCTTTCTTGGCTTCGTCCTGAGAGAACATTCATAACTCAATCAGCCTAAACACAGAGTTTTCTTTGGTAATGAGCCAACAATGCAGACATATGAGGAAAGCACATTTTTGGTATTCTTTCAGTCAGTACCTCCCCCTGAGGACCGTTAAGATAAAAGAGCTTGGTGTGTAGCCCATGATATGCATGGAAATTGTTAATTTGCTATGGATGTTTGTTAGGGTGCTGTCACTTCCTGTTTTGTTATGGTCCACACAATTGCATAAAATGTTCATGTTGATTAGTCAAACTCAGAGATGATTAATAACAAAACACATTAACTTTGTTACATCTACTTGAGAAAATGTATCATGTAACTAGCACTTTTAAAGTATATTTAAAGATTGGTACTTTTACTTTTACTCAAGTACATTACTGCGCTACATTTGATATAATTATATATCGGGGGCAGATCTGCCGTGGCCTCAAATCAACCTAATTTTTTCACTTCAAGATGTGACAAAGACTAGTTTCATAGTGCGATGCAGGCTGTGTGCAGTAAAAAAAGTGATAAGGCTGCGTATAAAAAAATCCAGCTCCAACCTGAAAAAATGTAGCGGTATTTGTCAATATGATACCTATTTGAACCGTATTAATAGTAATTTGGAAATTATGGGCAATTTGACTGTACAATACCATATTTCACACACTGTCCAAAGGTTTTTCTTCATACACACAGTTGTGCGAGCAAATATCTTGTGAACCTTACAAACAACAGCTAACAGTGTTTTATTCCAGATTTTATGTCATGTAAATGTGACCATCACAGGACTGAGAGCGACAACTGTCCTTCAGCCTATGTTTTAAATAAGCATAGCAAAGAGAAGAAGTGTGTGGATGTTTTCCAAATAGTTTGAAAATTTAAATTTTGGCTTAATATAAATCAGATCAGAAGTAATCAGTACCTAGTTACTAGGCCACAGATTCCCAAGCTTTTTGAGAAAACCCACATTCAAGCACATCCATTCCCAATAAAATTCTTGTCTGCCATTTTTCTACGAGAGCTACTTAGCATTACCTCCTCCCAGAAATGTGAGCATGCAGTGCAACAGAGCAGTGGTTTCATTTGAGAAACGGACTGCATTTCTCACATAGATGATGAAAGTAAACTGAAAACTGTTGTGTGGAAGCTGCGTCATTCGCAGGGGTAGTTCGGTCACTATTTTCTTACAAAGAATGTTGGAAAGTCTTTTGTGTCCATTTCTGCTCATTTATTTAAAATGAAATTAATCGTGCATAAATTTGCATTAAAGAAATCCACAAAAAAATATATACTTATGTAACAGTTTTTGATTAATTTATTTGCATCCCAGAATGGAAACTTTTAGTACACAGGGCTCTAGAGTGCGACCTAATTTCTCAATGGTGCGACTAAAAAAAATCAAAGGTTGCACCGGTGCGACCCGTCGTTCGAGTGGGGAAAAAAAAACGAAACTCCGTCTACGGCCGGTCCGCCTCCTGCGCGCGGCTCACAACACGCGTATCACCCATTCATGCGGCTCAATACGCGCCTATCGCGGCAAGCGCGCCTCTCAATTCGCGTTTACCGCGCCGCTGAAGCCTCAGACGCGCGCAAACGCGTCTTTGCATTGACTTAACATGGAAACCCTCCGCGCTTACCGCGCGAACCGCGTTCGATGTGAACGTACCTTTACAGCGGCAGGCAGCTGCAAACAGATCATCAGACGAGGCCGAGATGATAATTAAGTTTAACGTTGCCTACAATATTGCAAAAGAAGACCTCCCCTTCACTAAATTCAAGTCCAAAATAATTCTTATGAAGAAAAATGGCTTGAACGTAGTCAATGGTATTATCGTTTTTATTTGTATTTGCTGCTCTTAGGGACCAAAATCAGTTTAAAGTTTAAATTTCAGCTCAGTAAAGCACTTTAAACACCTTTTCAGTAAGTTTTAGTTAACTTTCTTGTGGAATTGTGCTTCAAATAAAGAACTTTATTTTGACCAGGTTGTTAGTTAATCATTTACAAGTCAATATTGTCTATATGGACAGTGATTTAAAAAAATAAATGAATAGATAACTAAAAAAAAGTGAACTTGTGAAAATGGGGTATTAAATGTGATGCAGTTGAAAATTTGGGTGCACCTAACTTTTGTGCTGGTGCACCTAAGAAAAAAATTTAGGCGCACCAGTGCAACCAGTGCAAAAAGTTAGTCTAGAGCCCTGGTACAGTAATTTTATTGTGAAGAAATGTATATTTCTATATGATTATAAATGGCTTTGTAAAGGCTTTGAGTATTGCTGTATCATCACCGGTGCTGTATTGTTTTGTTACTCTAAAGAGCCATCAGAGTGGAGGTGCAGAAGGGTGTGGTAGACATGAGGATCAGACATAGTGTAAGCATGTACGAGAGTGCAACAGTGTGCGCGACAGCAACAGTAAACGTTAAGATTGAACTTAAGCCACAAAGGCTTTTGGTTAAGGCAGCCAAAACAATCAAAGAGCCAGACCATAGCCTATAGGCCTCAGACCAGACAGACTGGTTTACATCTCTGTCTCACTCTCTCTCTCTCTTTCTCTTACGTATGCACACATACACACTGCTTCTCTATCACTCTCTTGTTCTTTCACTGCCTCCCTTTAAGAACAGTTGGGTCACACACACACAGCTCCCGTTCCTTTCTCACTTCTGAAATTATGACTTAAATGTCCTCTAGCCATGACTCCGAGAGGCTTCAAAGTCTCATTTGTTTTCATACAAACACAATGGTTCAGCCATAGAAGGAGGCAAGAACATGTTCATACATGTGTGTTGAAACAGCATATGCGATGTGCACAGCATATTAACTAAACACCTCTTTTGCATGTGCTAGAACAAAATATGCCATTTGTGTGAGCTGATGTATAAATACAGTAGTGCTTAATAAAATCCTTATTTTGAAGATTTACCACTCACATAAAATTTAGAAATATAAATAATTATTGTTGTACTGTCAATTATTTTAAAAAATACAATTTAATTGCATATTTTTTGCAATTGATCACAATTAATTGCAATAAAAAATCTGATATGTAAATGTAAACTCAAGACAAAGAAAGTATTTAAATCTGATTGTTTATGGAATTTTTTGTTTACCCTATAACAAAGATTTTCTCATGTAAACAACATACCTGCAATAAACCATCAATATCCTCCAAAAGATAAAAGACCCTTGTATGGAAAAGCTGAAAAACATAAGACTTCTCCAAAGGAGGAGGAATAAACTAAACTAAATGAAGGAATGACCAGGCTTTGTTCACAAACTCGATATAGTCACAAGATCCCATGCCAAGCTCACATAGGAGAATATATACACAGGATAACACAAAACACACGGGGAGTAAAGAGACTAAATAGTAGGCCAGACGGCAAGGAAACAGATTGAGCAATTGTGTGATGGAATGAAGTAAACGCATAGGGAAACTATGAAAAGGCAGAACATAACGGTATTAATGTAACAGTAATATGACTTTTGTAATTCATAAGTAATATTAATTGCATGCATTACCACACTAATTCTGACAGCACTACTTTAATGCAATATATCTAAGTTTTTGGCACATAAACCTTTGTTGACAAATACAGAGGTCAGACATTTCCTGTAGTTCTTAACCTAATTTGGAAACACTGCAGCTTGGAAGTTGGCACACTTCCAGATAATTTCCAAATCATTTCAGGGTTGATGTTTTGGCTACCTCCATTTTCTACTGGATTCCAGTTTGGAGACAAGCTACGCCACTGCATGACCTCAAAAAGCTTCTAATGAAGAACCACCCCACACATTTCCCTGGATGTGTGTTTGGCTCTTTTTAGTTCAACAAGTCCAAGCAAATCTCTTGCTTTAGGTTGTTTCCAATAACCCTGAAAAAATTGCCACAACCCTCCTCCCCTCAAAATTCTGCAGCCATTGTATGCCCTTTGAAGAAAAGCACCCACAAAGCATGATGTTTCTACCACCATGCTTTACATCGGATCACATTTGTGGTGATATACTCATCGTTCTTTTTTCTCCAAATCCAATGTGTGGAACTTATACCAAAAAACAAGTTCTATTTTCATCTCATCTGATCACATGATTCTTCATTGTCTTTGTCTAACTTCAGCCTGAATATTTGTTGGCTTGACTAGGGGTGGAGGGTGGTGGGAGGTTCACAGCCCTCTTCAGATCATGAAGCATTCCTGTGCAGTTCTGGGTAGATACCCTA